ATTTTTTGTGAATTTTTTTTTTTTGGCCCATAGCAACCAATGAACCTTTCGAAATCTGACAGCTCCATGCTTTCCTATGGGGGAGAAAACAATTTACAAAAAATTAACGAAAGTTCAGATCAAAGCCAAATCAGGTTTGCACACAACTTAGGGGGTCCTCTAACGAACCCAAGAATTTAGCACAGTTGCTGAGTCTTCATTAATTTTTTGTGAATTTTTTCTTCCCCCATAGGAAATAATGGAGCTGTCAGATTTTGACAGCTGTCAAAAGTTGGGGGAAAAAAATTCACCATTAATTAACGAAAAGTCAGATCAAAGCCAAATTAACTTTTGCATCCGTTTTAGATGGTGCAGAAGCTAATCCAAGCATTTAAAACCATTTTTGACCCTTTTATGACACACTTAATTTTGCAAAAATTGACTTCGCAAAGCCATTGAAACCTATTGAGTCAGCTACAATACATTCCAATGGAGGATACATTGTATCGTTTAACGATGTTTCCTATGGGTTTTTTCGCTTAAGGACGGCAATCCGTGCCTATTGGAACGGATTAACCGGTTTCCAATGCATCTCTATGGGAAATGGTGTTTCGCATAAAGTTTTTTTCGCATAAGGTTTTTTTTTTGGAACCAATTAAAAACGTTATGCGAGGCACCACTGTACTGTAAACTGAAACTTAATCTCTGAGCCTGGATGCCCAGGTTTCGGTGGTGGCTAGGAATGCAACTTAAAAACAAAATACATATATTTGGGGAAAAGTTTTTGTGCACTACAGCCCACAAAAGCTTATGGCAGTTAAACCTTTTTTAGTTTTTTAGGTACTGCTAGACTCATTGTTTGTTTTGCATACAACGGACTAACATGGTTATCCCCTTAAAATGTGTGAAAAAAGTGATCTGTTCTTTTGTCAGGAAAGCTTAATTAAGCACCCCAAAAGTGTAGTCATTACCTATTATTGCAGCCAGCACTGCAACATTATTAATTCTATAACATCATATAATAAAATGTTGGAGTTCTGCCCATTCTTCCTGCTGAATTTCACTCTTGTTGTTCATGAAAGCAAGAATTTTAATGCTTGTGATTTTCTTTCGCCAGTGAATTTAAACTCTAGAGCCAGTATTCTGCGCAGAGTTTACATATATCAACTGTAGAAGCTACTGCCATGATTTGATGAGATGCTGGTTGTGTGACCCAGCAGATGATAGACACTATTAGATCGCCAAGGCTGCTTCTGCAGTTGGAGCACCACTGATGTAAATATTGCACAGGATACTGGCCTAAGCCTTTAGTTCAGAATATTTATTTATTTATTTAATATGCCACCCACTCTACCCAAAGGTCTCTCTGGCCGGCTTACAACAATTAAAATACAATATGTTATCACAGCATTAGCATTGTAAAATGCTCCTCAGTTCTGTAGCCAATTTTTCTCTCTCTCCAGTAGTTGTTGTTCTCCCCAAAGAGCAATAGGTGCCAGTGACCTTTTTTCTCAAGCATTTTAGGTTTTTTGGTACTATTTACTGTACTTATTTTCCTATTCTCCTTTTCTATTGCATTGTCCACAGAACTTTTTTTATTAGGTGGATTAAAATGATAATAGATAATTATAATTTATTTAGTATTATTATTAAGATTGTCAATTATTTTAATCCCTCTCGCTTAAGTGGCAGCTTCTGTTTTCACCTGCTGTTGCTTATGCTTAGAGCATGCTCCCAGACCTCTTTCATGTGTATTACTTCTCCTTTCCTTCTTGGAACTAAGGAAGCCCTTGTTTTAATGCTTTGTACTTTAATTGTGAGCTGAATGAGGTACATTAACTACATTTGTTCATATTCATCTAGCTCAGTGGTTTAGTTTCCTGGCTGCAGAGCTAGAGGTTGCTAGTTTGATTCCGCCCTGTGCCTCCTTGACTGTGGCTGGACTCAATGATCCATAAGGTTCCTTTCAACTTTGCAGTTCTGAGATTATTGTTATTCTAAGATTATTCTATACTCTTGCTTCACTTTCTTTCTGGTCTCCACTGATCACCATGTCTCCATACAGGTTAAATAATTAAAATGTTAATAAAGTTCAAATTAAATATCAGCTTAATAAATTCAATGTTTTTGTATGCATTATCCTTACAGTCCCTACATTTGAAAGTAGCCACAATTGAATGTTGGGTGAAGGATGAAATAAGAGGGATATAAATTTGATTCTTTGTAAGCAAAGTTGAGCAAGAGAGATTGAGAATGTTCCAAGTTAATATCAATTCTAGCTGTTGCTAGCTCTTCTAAATGTACAAATGAATTTGGCCCACTGGCCCTTCTTTTGGATGTTAACGGGTTATGATTGAAAATGAGACTATTTCCATTGTGTTTAAGGAAATTTTGCTTAAGTGGTTTCTTTCTTTCTTTTTAAAATAGTTGTGGAATGGGGAGATGATGTTAAAACAATCTCAGAAGACGAAGCTGTGATGCTGGTGAACCATCAATCAACAGGGGATGTTTGCACTCTAATGATGTGCCTTCAGGACAAAGGCACGGTATGCTGTATTAGTGTATACTATTGTTAATACTATTGTTTAAATTGAAAATTGTATACCAAATAGTACTCAGTAACAGAGCAAAATGTGTTAGTCATTCAAGTACATCTGTCATTCTTGCTTTTGCTTTTATTTACTGGTGATTGGTGGCTGACAAATTGAACACATTCCATTGCCCTAGATTCATTATAAAGTTATCTTAATCTGACCTTAAATCTGATGTTAAAACCACTCTTATGTCTGAAGAAGTGGAGTTGTCCACAAAAGTTCACATTAAAATATAGCAGTTAGTCCTTAAGTTAGTCCTTTTCTTTCGGTTTCACTTCTTTCTATAGTTGACAAGAAGGAGCTGGTGGACTTCCCATTGTCCTCAATTTTGATCATGAAATCTGGTCAGCAGACAATACTGTACTCCCAGTGAGTCTTCGTCCTGAGGATATTTCTAACTGAAGATTGATTTGACCTGAAAACCTGGGAACACTAGATTTCATTCTTATTTTTTTAACTAAGGCCATACTTTTGCATATCTATTTAAAACGAAGTGTGAACTTTTTAAAAATATAATACTAATGGCAGGAAAACCAATATTAAAATGATATTTTATGTACTATATAATGCTGGTGCATTTATAATTATTTGTAGATATACTGGGATGAAACAGCTTAATAGATTTCTTGAATAATAATTTAAAACTGGATGCTCACTCAGTAAATTTGTTTTTGGCCTGATAATTTAGCACAGACTAACACAGTTACCTCTTCTGAAACTACAGTCATTGAAACATACACTAATGTGGTCTTCATGCTTTTAATGATCTGACAGTGCTTCTAGGGACGAAATTAGTGACCAGAATCTGGTGGGGATTATAGTTAGGCCTAACCCAAGTGGTGTCACTTCTGGAGACGTGTTGCCTCAAAGTAAAAAATCATAGTAGTAGGTGACATGCATTATGTAATGTCTATGGTGATTTCTTAATTTTAGACAATGCACCTCCAGAAGTTACTCCCTTTTTGTTATGCCTGCAGTTGTAACTAACAGCATTTTGCCTGATATGTTCAAAGTTGCTGCAAACATGATATAAAATCTGAAAATACAGATTGAGGTAGTATAATGGAAGAAAAATGAGGGAAGTGTTTAGCTTTTATTTTATTTTACCCTTTTTCAGAATTTTAGTATTCCAGAAGTCCCTGCCAGTAGTGTACGTCTTTGCAAGTTCTTTAAAATTAAATCTAAGTTGAATACCTACTTCTTCTAAAGCAGCACAATTTATTTATTTTATTAGATTTCTGCCTCACCCATCTAGACCAAAAGTCTACTCTGGGCGGCAATTGTAAACAAGAATACAGTTAACATATATTTGTTGGGGGAAGTCAGTTTTCTCTTTAGTTTCCCCCTTTTTATGCTAGCTGCCTCTCTTACAAGAAAGGAAGTATGAACTCAAGAAAATATTCCACTGGTTAAAAAAAAAGGACTTCATAAATACATAAACCAGAACCGTATTCACTTATGTGATTAAGAAAAGCAGCCTTGTTTCTGCCACCCTCTTCACATGCCCGGTTTCACACTGGTTGTGAAAGCAAATGTGTTGCACAAGTCATCTGATAGGGCCTGCTTGTTGGGAACAATCACAGCATGATTGCCCTTACACTTGCAGAGAGCATCAAGAGAAAGTGGGTTGTTGCAGTTAAAAACATTTAGATTTTTTAAAAAAAATTTAAAAAGTTGTGAAGATCTCGGTTGTGGGGTGGGAATAATATGTGCTCCTGAAAATGAACACTTGATAAAAGCTGAGATAAAGTAGTTAATGTGATTTAGTGGATAGGGTAACGGATTACGACTCAGGAGACCTGGGTTCAACTCCCTGTTTGACCATGTGAATTTCGTTGTATGTGTATATACTTACAATGACAATAAATTATTATTATTATTATTATGGAAAACTCACCAGGGTGGTTGTGGTAATGGTAAAAACACTTCTTAAATGTCTCACCATGAGACCACTATTAGGGTAGCTATAGATTGCTTGTGACTTGATGGCACATAATGCAAAAGTTGGTAGGCTCTTAGTGGTAACATTTGTGTACAATATTTTTAAACAATAGCATTTATATTCAATGCTTTCCTTAGTAAGAAATGGATTTCTGCCCACTTGTGTACATTTGTTGTGAAACATTCACACACACAAATTATAACATTAAATAAAGCAACGTGCCTCTGAAATTGTTTTTCTTTGTATGCAGAATGAACTGACAGGTTCTTATCTGAACTTTTCCAGGTTGTTCGACAGATGATGTGGCTGATGGATCATATTTTTAAATATACTAACTTTGGAATAGTATCTCTAATTCATGGAGATTTCTTTATAAGACAGGTAATAGTTGAAATGTACTAGTGACTTAATCAGTTTTTCATGTTTAGTTGTGTGATTTCCTATAATTGGTAGCCTTAGTTTATAAAAAAACTTCTACAGAGGACTTCAGCAGTGAGCAAATTGTTTGTCATTTGAACTATTGTTTGAAGATTATGGAGTATGAAAAGGAGAAATGGAGAGAGGGACACATGGGGAGCAAGACAAGAGCTATGGTGACACTGGTGGAACAATCTACTGGTTGAGGTTCTTGTAGAGATGTACAGTTTGTACAATGTTTCATTGTACAATGAACTTTATATACTGTATATTTATAATTTTCCTTTGTGGAGTAGTGAAATAGGCAGATTCTCAGGTCTGACAGTTTCAGTAGTTTCTGAATCTTTTATGGTAAATGACTTCATCTAATTACTAGATCAGCAACTTATGGAGTACAGGGTTACAGAACTAGTCACATTTTTTAAATACAGTGGGGTCTTGACTTGAGAACTTAATCCGTATTGGAAGGCGGTTCTCAAGTCAAAAAGTTTGCAGGTCAAATCTGCATTTCCCATAGGAATGCATTGAAAACCATTTGATCTGTATCTGCTCTTTTCCGTCCATAGAAACTAATGGGAAGCTGCTATTCTGCCTTTGACCACTAGAGGGGGATATTTTGTTTCTTTTTTTCTTAGGTCAGGAAAGGTTCAGGGAAGGCAGGGAAAATACAGTCCAGGCAGTACAGTTCCAGGCAGTCTGAAGACTGTCTCCCAATCCACTCTCTAAACGCTGGGAGGAGTGAGGAAGCAGACAGGCACCCTTTTCACTGGCCAACAGTTAACTGAAAGTTCAAATTTTGCACTTTCCCTGCCTCCCACGTGGGTTTTTTTCAGTTCTTAACTCAAATCTAAGTATGTAAGTCAAGTCAATATTTTCCTATGAGAGCGGTTCTTAAGTCAAAATGTTCTTAACTCGAGCCGTTCTTAAGTCAAGACCCCACTGTATTTGGATATAATTCCCTCTTTTGACTATTCAGAGATAAATGCTGTTGTTTATGTAGCTGAAATAAAGACACTGTGATTCACATGAATGGATTGTCCTGTGCCTGCACAGATGTCCTTAGAATCTTCCAGAGTCTGGGGAAAATTTGTTAGCCCCACCCTGTCAATTAGCACATGCTCTTCCACCTAACGTTTAACTCCATGGGCAGACATTTCAAGTGCCTCTGCGTCAGAGAAAGTCATCAGGCACAGTCGAGCCAATTTTATAAGAAATTTACAAAAGTTGCAATAAAAGAGACTTCAGTCGTAACTCTGGAAATATCTCTGTCTGTGATTGACACTATCTCAAAAGAGCCCATGAAACCATCAGCATCAGTCTGCAAACCCCCCACAACATCCACTCTTATAGAGCCTACGTAGACTGATACAATTTTGAATTTCCAAGAGGAGTTGGTTGTGCAGGCATTTGGAGAGTCACCTTCACCTTCAAAAGACACAGCTTTGACACTATCCATGTGAAAACTGACATTGGCCATCAGTATTAAAGAAAAGGAAGAGACCTCTCGCAGAAAAGATGCAACTAAAAAAGACGAAGGGTGCAAGCAAATAAGGAAGACACCTTGCATTGGTCATGATCCGTCCTCTCACTCCACAGCCCTTAACCTCACAGCTAAAAGAAAAGGAAGAATTTGTCTATCAGAGAAGCTCTGTCTTTCTCCCAGTGCCTTTCCACCTCTTACACATTCACCACCACGGAATAAAATATCAGGGAGTGATCCTGCACCTCAAAGCTGACTCAAAAGCATCCAACACCAAAGGCACCTTAACATTGACAGTCAAAGTTGAGGAATACAGATACAGACAATGCCAGGGCCTCTAGCACACAGTACTCAGCCCCAAAAATCTTCTCAGTGTTGAGACTCCATTCCAAGTATCTCTGTAACCAAATTAAGAGAAATGCAAACACCACTTACCTTTTTGATTGAGTTCTTCATCTTCAACAGTGGCAGTATCTCAGGAACTGGACTCATCCGCACAGGAGTCCTGATTTTCGCTCTCTGGAAAAAAAAAATCGAACTGTTGACCATGCTCTACAGACCAGTTCAAAAACACATCAAACAGAACAAAAAACAAACAAACAAACAGGGGAAACATTTAAAACTAGAGATTACTTGCCTGTCCTGGAAATGGGTGTTCATTTGAAACCAAAATCTAAACCTACAAAAGAAAAAAAAATACAACACAATTCCACAGACACAGAAGATGAAAATATATCTTTTCCAGAATCACTGTGACTTCCAGAAATATCACAGGAATCAGACATTGGGATGGGATGCACACAGCAAAGGGAGACAGATCCAAAGTCTTCGGACCACTTATCCGAAGAGAGGTGGTACAAAGAGCCATGGATAACTCTACAGCAGTGTTTTATGTAAGCAAGGAAGCATACAGTTGTTGACTCTCCTGTACTTTTCTGTGTTGTGGGAATGATGCGTTGAGAGGTGTATATATATATCCAATTTCTATCCATATTGTGGGAGAAGACAAGCAGATAGTGGACTTGATGAGCTGATGAACTGCAAAGATGTACAAGTAGGAATTAGCCCCTTGAATATTCCAAAGCATATGCAGCTGCTGGGGCCAAACCCAAACAGGACATCCAGAAATATGAAATGTCCAAAATTTTGCTTCTGAGCAGATCACGGGGAAAAAAATCTCTGGGAGATGCTTCCACAGTTTCATGGACCAAAAAGTTAGTTTACCTCTTCCCTCCCTTTCCAGTGCTTTGCAGAGTGATTGTGAAGCTGCCTCAGAATAAGGTGAATGTAATAATCCTAACCCAATGGTGGGGTTTGATTGCAATACTTTTCAACATGGCAGATGACATCTACTATCTTCTATGAAGCCAGATCTAACATCTTAACACAATACAGCAGTACTCCTGGACATCAAAACACTAAACCTGAAAGCATGGAGGATTTTCTAACGATCTGAAGAGTATTGATTGAAGCCAGAAAGCCTTCCACAAAGAAGGTCTACAATTATAATTGGAACAAGTTTGTCACGTTTGCTGACTTTATGGGAGAAAATTATCACCCCCCCAACACTACACACAGTGCCGTGTTTCCTTCTACACCTGAAAGAAAAGGGACTGTCTCACTCTTCACTATGGGTCTTTCTCTTACAAATCAAAAACAAGATTCACTGGCATTACAGTTTTCAAAAATGAAACATTAAAAAGATTCCTAAAAGGCTTATGGATCTCTACCCGGACATTAGAGCTCCATTACCTTCATAGTCTCTGCCTTTGGTTCTTTCTCAGTTGACTAAAACTCTGTTTGAACTGATGGCAACTTCTGATCTATGACTCTTAACATACAAAACAACTTTTTTGTTTGCTATTACATTGGCCAGCGGGTGAGTGAGCTGGGGGTGTTATGCTGCAGTCCTCCTTCTCTACAATTCTTCAGAGATAAGGTGGTTCTTACAACAGATGTGCCTTTTCTTCCTAAGATCATAACTGATTTTCACACCATTCAACCTCTGGTGTTGCTGACTTTTTTTTTTCCAAACCCTACTATCAACTTAGAAAGATTATTGCATATGCTAGATGTTCATAGAGCTCCAGCTTTCTATGTGTTGAGAACCAAAGCTTTTGGAAAAAAATAATAAGCTGTTTGCCTACTACCAAAGGAATTGGCAAGGCATCATGCATGTTTCCTCACAGAGGATGTCCCAGTGGCTCGTAAATCATATAACTTTGTCTTACTAGTTGGGAAGAAAACCTGTGTTACATTCCTTAAAGGGACACTCTGCTAGGGTGCTTGCTGTCTTTATAGTCTCTTTAAAAGGGAGTTCAGATAAATGATAGCTATATGGCAGCCATATGGTCTCCACCCCTGACTTTCATCAAGCAGTGGACATAAAACTAGGTGCTTCCTTTGGTCAAGCAGTGATCTCATCAGTATTGACATGAGATCCTGCTGGCTGGTGAATGAGCTTGTTAGTCATCAATTAGTATGAATCACAGAGACCACAAAGAGAGGCAGGTTACTTTTAAATAGTTCTTTGGTAATCTGTGAATTCACACAACCCATTCCACTGCCCTTCTGTTTGTCATTCATGGAGTCTGATACAGCAGTAGATATGGGAACTGGAGTTAACTGTTAGATAGAAGAGCATGTGTTAAGTGATAAGGTAAAGGTAAAGGTTCCCCTTGACATTTTAGTCAGTCGTGTTTGACTCAAGGGGGCGGTGCTCATCCCCGTTTCCAAGCTGTAGAGCCAGCGTTTGTCTGAAAACAGTTTCCATTGTCACATGGCCAGCGTGGCTATACACAGAACACAGTTTACCTTCCCACTGAGATGGTACCTATTTATCTACTTGCATTTACATGCTTTCGAACTGCTAGGTTGGCGAGGAGCTGGGACAAAGCGACGGGAGCTCACTCCGTCGCGTGGATTTGATCTTATGACTGCTGGTCTTCTGACCCTGCAGCACACAAAGGCTTCTGCAGTTTAGCCCGCAGCACCACCACGTCCCTTGTGTTAAGTGATCGTCGTCGTCTAGTCGTTTAGTCATGTCCGACTTTTCGTGACCCCATGGACCAAAGCACGCCAGGCCCTCCTATCTTCCACTGCCTCCCATAGTGTTAAGTGATAGGGTGGGGCTAATAACTTTTTTCCTAGGCTCTGGAAGATTCCATGGATGTCTGTGCAGGTACAGAACTGACCATTCATATGAATTCACAGATGCCCACTCAAAGTACTGCAATCATGTGTAAGTAATCTGTTCTTTCTTTTTTCCCCAGTCAAGTTCAGCAAGATAATCTGCTTTGGAAATTTCTGTTTAAAAAAATAAAATTGACTCGAATTTTTGAAAGCAAAAGCAAAGCAGTTTCATCTCAGCAAAAGTTTCACCTCAGTGCTTGAACAGGTTTTCAGTTAGGTGGCCATTTTTTAAAACAAGAAAGTGTGAAAGATACGGGAATTGCAGTTAGCACTTTATTAAGGCAGTTTCTGCTGTTGGGAGCAGAGTGTAAGCTGAGCTATCTGCCTCTGTCCCTGCTCATACCTGCAAACCAGACAGTTACAGTGAATTCACCTGAGAGAACACGATTTCCATGGGTATGAATCACAATGGATCAACTCCTATTTTTCCCACTGTGTAGTTGCATCAGCTGTAGATTTTCTTCTTTGCAAGTGACTGTGCTTGACAACTCCTTGGGTCCTTCACAGCTATATAATTGTATATACATAGCATCCACTGTGATGCTATAATTCTAGGCAACTTACTTAAGTATCTCTGTTATTTTCATTTTAGGGAAAAGCTTTTCGTGACCAGCAACTTGTGCTTCTCCAGGAACATCTAGAAAAATATTACAGGAGCCGTGGTCGCAAGTGGATTGTATTGTTTCCAGAAGGAGGTTTTCTTCGAAAAAGAAGAGAAACAAGTCAGGCATTTGCCAAGAAAAACAATTTGCCATTTCTCACACATGTTACATTGCCAAGACTTGGGGCCACACAAGTTATACTGAAAAACCTTGTAGCTCAGCAAGAAAATGGAACTCTGGCAGGCGGAGATGCTCCAGAAGCAGGTATAGAGGATTGTAAATATTATGAATCAAGTACCGTCCAGCTGGAATCTTAAAATGAGCGTCATGTTTTGTATATTTCATAGACCATGCTTCATATGCCAACTTATTTGCAAATTAGAGTTGTACTCCTTTAGAAATATGACAGTCACACAAACTTCTGCAGCACTGCTATGTTATAGGATATTCACATACCTTTCTGGCCTTTTCCAAATCAGTAAATGCTTGTTGTTATGTTATAATATGAATTAACAGATTGCTCTTGAATCATCTAACTGCTTCAGTTTAACAGTTCTGGGATCACAGAATATAGATTACGTACATTGATTTAAGAGGAAATATTGTGAGGGAGGTTTTCAGTAGACAATAATGTAGAAATTATTACATCTGTATCTTTTGATTCTTTCCCTATTGTACATGTGTTACAAATTTTATGGCCAGAAAGATAATATATAGCTTTCTCACCAACTGTGTTACATAATTCCATGCTATTTACTGTTGGTTACTTTTAAAATCATTTTAATGAAGACATTTTCTTCTCCTAGTTCAACTTAATGATACCCACTATGGTGCCTGTGGGCTGGAAAATACAAACTTCTGGCTTAATGCCATGGAAATTAGTTCTTTTAAAATGTTTATGTCTGTTTCTCTCCTTAGAAGAAAGTGATTGCTGTTATTGGTTTCCCGGACCCTTGCACCATAGTTTGTCCATAGTTTGTACTTAATAGCATTTTAGATGTGCTGTCTGCAGCTCTGGGGAGGTTCTTTATATCAAGAAATTACTTCTAAGTATAACACTTGACAAGCAAAGACTGCTTGGTGCAGAAAAAGATGTTCAGAAATGCTCCTCTGTTGTTTCGAAAAATTATAATTTTGAAGCAAAAAAAGAATATTTGCACAAACAAAAAGGAAAAGCGGGGGAAGAAATGCAGCTAGGCATAATAATGGAAAGTGTGATTTTATGAAAATCTAAAATGTTGGGAGCATAATGGGAGTTTTTAGAGACAGAATACTGAGGCTTGGTGTGATTGAAAGAGTATCCTGTCTTGCCACCACTGTCCGTGTGGTGCTTATCTAACCTTCCTGTCCACTTTAATTAGACCGAAGTCCTCTTTTTATCTGAAAGTCTGGCAAGAAGTGAGCACCAGGAGGATCATGGCAGCAGAGGTGACAGCCTTAAATGGGTCAAGAATCTCATGACATTTCCCTTAACTTCAGCTCTTGTGGCCAGAAGGAATGCTTATTGACATGTGATTTAGCTCTTTGATAGAATGCCAGAAGAGAAAGACAAACCATAGGTTTTATATTTTAGCTTTTACATAACAAATTTTCTTTGTGCTCCTTCTTAAACCTTATTCAGGTTTAATGCACTGAGATCAGAATTCAAGTTTTGTTGTTGTTGTTGTTTTTGCTTCTATAATTTTTGGTGATATTTGTTGGATGATATTTGCATATTTCAGGTTGGCCCTTCTTCCTGTTTTGAGCATTGTTTAGTTACTTTTCTGTGTCCTGTTGAGGGAAGTTTTTTTCATCTGGAGGAGGCTTCTGTCAGCAGCCTTCAGAGGCACTGGTTAGGATAGCTCTGTTGACCAACAACACATTCCTCTCTGCTCCAGTGAGAGAAGACTGAATATCCACTAGATGCAGCAGATCATTTGCTTTCTTTTGTTCCTTTTTCTGTTCCTTCTTTTGATCCCTTTCTCTGTTAGTAGCTCCCATGGTTTTATTGGGTGAATTGAGTATATCGCTCTGAAGAACGGTCTCTGCTATATCGTTAGCAATTTCTGATGATCTTCCTCTTATTTCTTTGCACTGTCTTCTCTACAGCATAAGACTGTTCCTCTGCACAATCTTTTTCTGCCTTGGATTTTTATTTTTTGAGATGGGGGTGTACTGTCTGTTAAATTCTGTTCTCTCCCTGTTTGCTTTTCTTTTGGTAGCTTCATGTACTGCTTTCTGTTCTCTGTGGCTCACATGTTCTGTGTCTCCACAGAGCACAGTTTAGAACACTAAAGCTGAGCAGACGTCTGGTGGGGGGCCTGTCCTCTCCCACTTAGTGTCTGCTCAGAAGGTGTTACAGCAAAAGACGATTGCTAAATTTTGCAAAGTCTCTAAAAATCCTTGGTTGTTTTCTGTGCTGTGTACTGAGCCAGCTTCCACCATTCCTTTTAGTCTACTGCAGCAGAATTTTAAATATTAATTGTTCACAGGTATTTTCTTCAGTGTTTGGAGGCTTGCTAATCACTTGGTTGTCTTATTTTATTTTCCCCTTTTTCTTTCCTTCTTCTCTAGAATAAATGATTAGAAGTAACAGTATTGCCCATACCCATAATGTCTTACAGTCTGAGCAACAGCATCACCAGTGTCATTACTCTTATAAAGTAACATAACAACTTGTAACATCATGTAAGTTTTTTGTATATGTTGACTCACAGCTTGTGTTTTATTTCAGTACTTTTGTGCCACTCATTAGTGATGCAGCATATATGGAGCTTGAATGCTATTGGGATAATGCTGTAGTGTCTATGGAGTGTGTGCAAGGGTTTAGATACAGGAAGGGTGTACCAGTGTGCCCATATCTGAGTTAAAAGGTCTTTTTTTGTTATTAAGGAGATACACAGCAAATGAAATTATTTCCTTAAAGTATAAAATGGGTGAACTTAGATCTCGTCTGCAGAAGTATGAACGTATGAGGAATGAGCCTTACTCAGTCAATTTGCCAAAAAACTATTTTGTTTTCTGGTCACTTCCAATCATGTCATAAGGTTTCTTGCATGAAACTGTGACGCTGATGTCCAAGGGTGACCCCATTATGTGACTGAAGTTACTGCAATTGCTTGGTAGTTTTATTAGTCTTATCATTAGTTCCAAAGACCTTTGTTCTGTGACTTTGTTGCTTCATAAATCTGTACAGATCACTCACTGTTGTCCTTTCGTGTTTCACATCTTACTAAGAGCATACTGCATAGGCAGCAAATTCTTGATGTTGTTCAAGGGGAGAGTTTTCCATTTTGTCAGCTGGGCAACTTATACAAAGTCACGCTTCTTGTTTTAAATCCTGGTTTTCACACTGCTTCAAGATTTTGTCTTGTTTGATGAAATTCACGGTCTTCATTGTTTTTATACATCAAACATACTGGTAATCCAGTTGAATAAAATCATATTCAGGAACCTTCTAAACTGAAGTATTTTTGATGGGAAGCCTACCTCCTCACATGTAATGCACATGTTGTGTGATCCTGTGTTACTGTCCTAACATGACTTCCAATCCAGAAGACGCTGAATAGTATATGGGCAATTACTGTAGTTTGAAGGTGAACCCCACTAAACATATTGGGGGTTAATAATAATAATAATAATAATAATAATAATAATAATAATAATAATAATAATAATAATAATAATAATAATAATAATAATAATAATAATA